CTCATTCTCACTTGATTTTAAATGATTAGTTTCTCTAGCCTTGCTTTAATTTAATTCTGTTGCAATCCTAAAGCGCTTTCACTTTTGAATCAATTTGTCCTTTCTGTTGATGCCTTGAAAGTGAAGGAGAAAACTAGCAGACATCGGATGTCACTTGTCTGCTCGGTCTCATATTACTTATTGTCCGGTCTGTGGTTTCCTTTTGCCAATGTTAATGTTTGCTCGGTTAATGATCTTATATGTGTGTAATTTTTCGCTTGTTGTATCTAAGGTGATATTTTATCAGTTCTACTGGCAAATCAGATGTTCTTGCAGTTTGCACTGTCACGCGTATAGAATAGTAGCATTCCAGAGCCGCGATTATATTCAAGTTGGCACACTGAATCCGCTTATGAGTGAATTTTTATTATGGGATGTTCCATAGACCCGGTTGGTTACAATCGTGATGAGGAATAATTAACATAGTTGCGAACCCAAGGCCTGATCCACCTAATCAATTGTGAAGGGGATGGGGTTGAGCATTAGATCTGCCTATTAAGCTCATTTAAGTGCTTATATGTGCGCCATGTGATTGGCAAGGCAGTTGCTGACACAGTGGTAGAGGTGCTAGCAATGAGATGCCTGTTATTTTTAAGGGAGATGACATTACGCAGAACTTACATGTAACTCCAATGCTCATTTCAGGTCTTAACCTCCTTACGAACCTCTTGCGTGTGCCGGAGGGCGTTAACGTGGAGTCTCTCTTCGCGGGTCTACCGCGATCCTTGTGGTGCCGACTGATTCAGTTGCTCTGTCTCTCTGACTTGGGTCTGGTGTGTGCGGTTTTGGAGGCTCTCTACACCGCCACAGGCATGGGAGGTCTCGCGTGCACGCGTCTGTGGGGCGCTCTTGCCTCTGCTGATGACACTGTTTCGAAACGTGCTCCAGCAACAGTCTTTGCTGCTCGTCGCGCCTCTATTCACCTCCGGCCTCTTCTAGCTCTCCTCAGTCTCGAGGGGCAATCTATGGGCCCGGGATCCCTGCATCGCGTCAAGGTAATGCAACGTCAGCTTCAGCCCGTTCTCGCTCCGATGCCATCATCGGTACCGCCGCCGTCACAGATGGTGATGGGTCAGCCTGTGATGCATCACCCGCCATCTTTTCATTCTCATTACCACTCTTATCATCACCATTCTCAGCCGACGGTATCTCTACCTCTACCCCAATACCCCTCTCAACAAGCTCCTCGTCACCCCTCACCTGTACCACTACAACCGATGTCCAATCCGCATTTAGTGCCTTCTCGGCCCCACACTGTACCAACACAGACACGTCTAATCCTCCCACCTTCTCCACGTCCAACGCCCTCATCGCCGTCTTTGGCGAGCCTCTTAGGCCCCGGTTTAACTTCCTCCCCTACTGCCACCACTAATTCAAGGGCTCTGGCAGTCCCACCTCAGGTGGCCAATGTGAAGCCGGAGCCATGCACTCTTTCTGAGCTCACCGATCGACTGCAGATGCCACCACCTCAAATGCCACCTCCGAGACGGACATCTACGCGAGTCAACGGTGCTGCCACGTCCTCCGCACCCAACCGATCACCTCTCGTGAATGGAAAAAGTGATTGCGCTCTTCTTTTCCTTTATTGTTCATACGCCTGAATCAAAGTAATTCAGATAATCGTTTATCCCCAATTTGCGGAAAGCGTAATAGTTGGTATTAGTGAGTGGAAACCGAAGCCTATGAACATTTATCATATGCCCTCTTTTAATCATCATTCTCGTCGTTCAGCATAGTCAACCCATTCCACTACTATTATGTTTAACCCTTTTTACGTTGTCATCAACCGAACGAGGATGTAAAGTCATGCGGTGAGTCCATCGAACACAGTTGGTGTGCCCATCAATCATTGAAATTACAAGTTTTGGCTATTTGTGTTTAATGCACTTGTCACAGTCGCCAGCATGTTGCTCTAAATCATTTCTTATAGTAGGTAATAAGATGCATTAGTTCTGAAGCTCTACTGTTACTACAGAGGGATGCGGGGGAAGGAGGTGACAAAGGAAAAGCATAGCGAGGAGTAGTTTTTTTTGTAGTTCCAACTCCCT